CCCCCCCCCCCATGGAACAATAAGTAGCATGTGTTAGTAGGATCAGGCAGATTCACTGTAAGGGAATTAGGGCCCTGAATGGCTTCCCCTAATTGGACTTGAATGGACTTTGTCTATGGGAAAACTGGTTCTTAAAGATGCACAATGGCTGCCTCGCTTCGGTGTGGGAAGTGGGTTGAGCTGACAACTGTTTTAGGCACAGATGAGCAAGTGCACACACACACACAAACGGGATCTTAATTGCGCAGTGAAAGCTCTTGCCTTCTGACCAGACAATCATATATGTTAGCATGAGACGCTGAGGTTGCTGCCGTCTCGTCTTGAGAGAGTCAGTGAGAGTAATTAAGCCCTCGTTAAGACTGGAGTAGTTAGGATTAATTAGATGCTCGCTGGCTCAGGGAGCTCCTTCCGACTCACACACACACTCTCACTCATAAGTTCCCTGCTAGCTGAGGTTTTTTTTGAATACACTCGCTCTTACACACACACACACACACAGCGCGACACATTTATCAGCGAGAGCCCTGAAGACTCTTGCCTTAAGAGGCTGAAATGACATCTCGATGCCGCCTTCTCAGCAGGAATCAATTAGCGTCCAACCCGCCTCTCACCCGTCTTGTCAATTAGAGCTACACAGCCAATTTGGCGATGTCAGGATGTGAACCAGCAACAGCTTGTCTGCCGATATAACTGAACTTGAGTAATTACCATGTTTAAATGTTTGAATTCTCTACATGACAAAGCATTTAAATCTGTCCCAGGTTTTACAATGTCTGTTATGAATCATATTACCTGTGGAGGCACAATATGCAGTCATGAAGGCAGAGATATGCAGCAGGAAATCTATCTGGCTATATTTTAAATATTTGGCTGTCTTTAAATGGAAAACAACACTGTTTTAATTGCTCACTATTTTAAAAATTGAGAACTGCTATTGTTTTGTGAGCAACAGGGTTTGAGGTCACTAAGGCCTGGCAATAATTTATCGTGTGCTTTTATTTCTTTCAGAGAAAATGATCTGGCTGTGTTAAACGTTGCCAAATAATGGAGTTTAGTAAAGAAGCCTAGGTAAATTGAGCGTTTATAACTAAAAAGACAAGTAAAAGGGAGAAATGTAAGATGTATATGAAGTAGGTCAACACAAGCATTAAGAAATCTGAGATCAAATCTAAAGGAAGTTGATTGAAAACTCATATAAACAATAGTAACAGTGTGGTCTATAGTTAGTTAGCTTCTTTCTCTGTGGCATGCCAAACATGTTGGCACTCTAAACCAACATTCAAAACTACTATAAACTATGGCTCCCATATGACTATGAATTTTACACCATGCCTCAAACTGCCCACTAAACTTCACACACACACACACACACACACACACACACACCACAAC